GCCCCCTCGTAGTGCGGGCAGTAGATGTCCAGGTAGTCATTAATGGCCACCTGGATGGCGTAGTCGTCCCGCAGGAACCTGCCGGGCAGGGCGAGCTGGGGAGTGGGCGGCCAGGGGTCCCGTTGTCCCTGGGAGGGACGCCCTGCTGCCCCCCGCCCCGGCAGAGCAGGTGGCCGGGCTTTTGCCGAACAGCTACCGGGCGTTCGTCCGCTCCACACAACCAGGCATCAGCTCGGATTAGCCGCAGGCCACTGGAGCTGAATGGGCTCGGCCGCCGCGGCCGGGGAAGCCCAGCCACGCCAGCCGGGGCACAAAGCCCCTCGCCCCAGGCACCCGCCTCACCACCCCGGTGCTGATGGCTGCTGACACCCCAGCGGGGGGCCGCCCCACACGATGCCTCCTGCACCACATGGATCTTCCAGGGGCGCGGCTGGCCAGGGCAGGGGGCACGGGGGGCTCTGCTGGCTGGGCAGGCAGGGGAGGGGGCCCAGCCCGGGTACCTGCGCGGGCAGGCAGGCACCAGCGTGGCTGTTGGGATGGCATGAGCTCATGGCTGCAAACAGCGCGTGCGGCTAGGCTGGGGTGGAGCAGACACCTCTGCAGGCACACACACACACACACACGCACACACATGTGCACACATACACATATGTGCACATGCTTGGTCCTGCCCACCCGGGACAGGCAACGGAGCAGGAGCCCCTCTCCCCCTTCCCAGCCCCAGCAGGGCGGCAGTCTCCGTCCTGCGCCCGCGTCTCCCAACCAGCTGGATCCTGCCGCGGCCCAGACATGCACCAGCCCGGCAGGGCCCTGGCCTTGCTGGCAGCGCTGCGGCAGGGATGGTGCTGCCGAGCTGCCGCCTGGCTGGCAGGGTCGTCCTGTCCTGCCAGGAAGGGGGCTAGCGGGGAGACCCCGGGGCCAGCTCCAGCCCCCTCCTCCCACCCCGGTGCAGGCACAGGCAGTGTTTACACCAGGCGCAGATTCCTGGCAGCTGCGGCAGAGGTCGGTGCATTAATCACCGGGCCGGCAGCGCTGTCGAGCCGGGGAGGCTCAGGCCCCAGCTGCCCCCCCCAGGCCAGGGGCTCTTCGAGGACAGGACCAGGCGCGGGC